AAAAAAAGTCATATCTGGAAGTCAAGAAGTATAAATAGAAAAACAAATACATTAAAAGAAAAAGAGGAAAATATGTCATTATTTTTTCTCACAAAACAAAAAAACCCCCACAATTTCTCATTTATAGAATTTTGTGAATTGATGTTATGAGTGTGTAGGTGCATGATTTTAATGAACAAAGTGGCATGAATATTTGTGAAGTCTATATGTTGAAAAACAATCGATTTTATGTCCTCATGCATATTATATAATTTACTGGTTAAACAAACAAACAAATGATGCATATAGCTTTATATGAACTTTTGAAAACTCATTGGAAATATTTTAAAAGTAAATGCAATATATTCATGTCTTCTTTTAGTTACATGCGTCTTCATCCCCAAGTTAAGGACCTGGAATGGGAGTTTTCAGGATTCTAGCAGAAAGCATAACTCTGTATACTGTAAATCCTTCCTGATGCAGCACTGTCTTCAAGTCTTAAGAGTCCTCTGTGTTCTCCTCTAATAATGATGCCCAGTGGTTTGTGAATAGTGTAGGACAGCTTCTGGAAGCATTAAATGCCTCTGCAGATTTGGACTTTCCTCATTATTTCTAATAATTCTGCATATTAACTGTCTGTCACTGCTTGTTGAGGTCACTGCACCAGCATCTCAAACCACCCATGCGTCTTCCTTGCCTAGCAAGAACAAAGACACTTTAATTTAGGGCGAGATGGTGACTTCTTAAATTAGCATATGATCTTCTTCTAGTTTAAGAGATTTACAGTTGTAGGGAGATTGCATCATTCTTTTTACTAAGTAGCAAAATTTGTGACTTTGTGGCATCTATTTTCTGTGCTGTTCTGATATTTTTCCTTTCCTTATGGACTGCAGCTTTTCTTATGGGTGTAGGTAGAACTAATTGACCCTAAATAACTCAGCTGTTGTATTTTAGAAAGGAGCAATACATTATAATGGGAAAATACTAAAACAAAAGTCAAAACACTTATTCTTTGGCCCAGTTCTACCACAGGTTTGACTGCTGCCTGCCTCCATCCTCTGTGTTAATTGATGGAAAAGATAAGTAATGGGGATGAAATGTGGAAAGTGCTTCAAATATTATGAACTATTCTATTATTTGCTATTATGATGGCTTTACTGTACTTTTGAGAGGAAAATTAACTTTTTTAAAAAAATTATTCATTTATTCACATGTGCATACATTGTTTGTGTCATTTCTCACCCCTGTCTGCTGCCCCCACCATCTCCCCCCCATTTCCAGGCAGAACCTGTTCTGCCCTTATCTCTAATTTTGTTGAAGAAAAGACATAAGCATAACAAGGAAGACAAAGCATTTTTGCTAGTTGAGCTAAGGATAGCTATATAGAAATATTCCTAGCATTGCTTTCATATACACGTGTTACAACCTATGTTGATTCATTGCTAACTGATCTTTACACTGGTTCCTGATCCCCTTCACATGTTAACCTCTGTCACTTTAAGGTTTCTGTAGTAATTCCTCTGGAGTGGGGACATCAAACGGTTTCATGTTTTGGGTTTTCTACTTATTCCTATATCTCCTGTATGTGCTCTCCCTTTGTCATAAGATCGAAGTCCAACCACACTGCTGCATTTGCCCTAGATCTAAAGTTTAACTTTATGTCTTAGAAAGGACTTCAGGTCTCCAAAATGATGCAGTGATTCTAGTAAGTAGCATAATTAGTTCAAAATGAAACCTGCACAAGTAACATTAAGCAAAAACAGAATCTGATGAACAGCACTGTCTACTTATAGTCTTCTCATGATTTGATATGATTGGTAATCTGGCATATCTAAAGCAAAAACAACCTCTACAAAACTGGCTTTATTGTATACAGTGCTTATTGAGAATACTATTATACTTCATATATATAATAGTATAATAGTGTTTTATGTTTATATCAATTTACTCCATTCCAACTAACAAGATTCATTATTAGCTGTTTTCCAACTTCACTCAGGTCAAAATCAAAGGGAATAGTATGAAAGTAGAGAATAAAATAATTTTCTTAGATGTTAGAAAACACCTTCATTAATGAAAGACTAAGAAGAGGTAATAGTTGTGGAAGGTCTGCCTGTATATGCTCCCCTTCCCACCTCCCCCCCCACACAAATAGGACATTGTTTAAAGTGTATGTTTTTGTGGAATAGTTATATTTGATGATTCTCAAAGACCTTGCACAACTTCTGTATTTTAAAAAGTTTAAATGTATGTCTGCATAATTAAGATAAGAAAATATATAAACACAGAAAAATAACATTCTACTCATGCCTTCACTTAATAAATCACATCATAATACAAACTGCATTTGTTAATCATTAGCATTTCTTTTGAGGATTCATTTTACTCATCAAGATTTGATTGCTCTTGATGATTCTGTTATAGCCTTTCTTGATTATTTTCTAAATTTGATGACAAACATTGCAACATGTCTCAGCCAATTAGGCTTGTCAACTTCCACTGTGGTCCCCAATCAAGTGTTTGACTTTGGAAATGACAGCAGATCCTTATTAAAGTCATACTTCTTGGATAGAGATGTGGCAGCTCACATGTGAATGATGGTACAGAAGACAAGCTGCCTTTCATTAAAAGCAATAAAAATATGAAGAAAGCAGTTTTAGCAGAAAATACTCAAGACTACAAAGTAAAAACAGAGGGACAGGACTAAAAAGCATATAACTTGCATTTGCTTGGAAAATGATTCAATCTAAGTGAATATAATTTCTTAAAGTCTACATGTAGTTCAAGTACAGAAGCTACACTGAAGGTTGAAAGAGTTGTTAGATCACAAATATAGCTTTACAAGTTCTTCCTAAGTGCATCTCAAAAAAGGAATAAAAAAGGACAATGATTTCAAACTAGAAACAGAAAATTAATCCCTGAAAAATAACAAACTGTGCAAGCAAACTTCCACATTGTGTGAGACATAAATAAGTGATAGAAAAATGATAGAAGGGAATTCTGGACCATTTCTGCAAGGAATGACAATCTCATTCATAAAGAATTCTTCCCCATTCAATAGCCATATTCTTAATTCTTTAATTTTTTCCTAATCAGCAATATCATAAGAAAAAAGAAAAGTTTGAATTTGTTAAACAGATGAAGAAAAAAAGAGAAATGTTTAGAATAAAATGTAAATGTCATTTTACACCTTGAATTTTTATTTATTTTTTCTGTTCAAAGTATTTATGTCAGCCTCAAACCAAGTATCCCAAATGGAATTATAATCCCAAAAAACTTGTAGTTTACTTGCTTAAACCGGTAAGATTATAAAACCATTCATAAAATTTGTCAGTTTTAATGAGAGATTCAGTAAAGGGAATTTAACATTCTAAAAAAGAATGGGAATTTTCTTTTGATGATAAAATTCAGAGGATCTCATTTAAAAGTCAAATATCAGCATGTATAACTGCAATAAATGATTAGCTTTGCATTGTACCTTCTGAAAAGCTTAAAGTAATTCTAGATTTCTGTGAAGACAGTTGGCATTTCCTTGGGAACTCTCAGCATGCAACATAATAATCCCAGGCCACTGTGATTAAAAATCGATGAGCTGACAAATGTCAATATTTCAGTTATCCATCACTGAAGGAAAAATGACATGTATTATTGGAGGGTCATAATTTAGGACATTTGACAGGGCAAAACTTCTAAAATATCTTATGCAGATGTTAAATTGTGGGAGATGGTATAGGTACAAAAACACCAAAGGGTACATGTATATATTGAGAATATTTTAAATAACTCCCTTTCTATTTTAATGAAAACCTACTTGGGATTATGCATATGGATATCACTGTCTGTGAAAATACTTTCAGAGGTCAAAATTTTTAAGTCCCAAGTCTTATAATGACATGATACCATACCACATGACATTCATCAGAGTACAGTAATATTACATTATAGTGACAATAAAATAAACTATAGAAATACATTAAATAAAATCCTATAGTTTATTCTTTTAAAAGCTGTTGAAATAGAGCAGTTTTTTTCTCTCTCACTCTTTCTCAAAAACAAAGTCTGTAAAAGGATTTTTAATATTAAGAAGTTGTGTATCCATGTTAAGATTTCATTTATGCATACTGGCAATTCTTCACTGCCATCTTTAATATTCATTCTAAGAACTCTTTCAAAATGAATTAGCTTTTCAGAAATGAAATTCATTCCCCATCCCACTGAGTCACAACATTAATTAGCAATATATGTTATTTCATCAAACATTTAAGAATTTAACTACATTTATTCAATAGAATACATTTCAGATAATATTTCAGTTCAGCAAACACAAATGTGTTTCTATGTTAACACTCAGGGAATTATCTATGGCACATATTAGGTCATTTGACATGGTGGAGGAGGGAGGTGTGTGGGTTAGGGTAGGGGCAGGTGGTGATATTGCTAGTGAGCTCATACCTATTTCGTACTTATACTTTGTTTTTTTACATTCAACCATACCATGTTCTGTCAGTCAGATTCTACTTGTCAATTATCCTTATGTCTTAGAAAGTATTTTAAATATAAGGTTTTGTTATTTGTATTCTATGAATAATATATAAGGAAGCAGAAATCCAAGTGGAAAAACCATACCATTTCTGGGAGAATTTCTACATATAGAAAAGTATCTAATTGAATTTAATATTTTTTCTTACATATGGAAAAAATTATGCCCCCAAAATACACATATGCACTTAGCACTTCAGAAAGGCATGACCCTGGCCTACAAAAAATGCATATGTATCTGTCTCTTCTACATACATAAATTTATTTTCTCCATTTTTCTCTCCTATAATATTTGTTGATGCAAAACCTTATCTTTAGCACATAAATAAAAACTGGTCTATGGAATGATGAGCTTTAGGGTGTTGGGAAATAAGATGATATCATCTTATCAAAAATAAGATTATAAAGAGTATGTATATTTATCCCTCTACCCCCAAGGTTTGTAAATAACAAAAGAGCCTATTAAGGAATGTCTAGCACTAATGGCTTCTTCTCCTTGGATTTCAGATTCAAGGCCTCTACCAGATGTAGCCCTGACTGGGAAGTGCACTCGTGAGTGTGATGAATATGGCCATTCAGACTCCTGCTGGATGCCTGTCCGCACTTCTCCAGAGAGGAAGAAAAGCCAGCCCAAACTCTCCACTTTCATGCCTGTTGATGAACGAGGAAGCCAGGAAAAGCTGGCCAATGGCGAGGCTGCTATCATGGGTGATCGCAACAGAAACCTCCTCAACAAAAAGTTGACCTCGTCCTATGAGACCTTCAGTGCAGCGAGTTTCAGCAAAAATGAGGAAGCCAACCCTGAGGATATTCCTCTGACAAAAACAGGGGAGTATAAGCCATCTCCTGTCAATACTCTCACTAGAAGAGAAGTTTACCTGTAGGCTACCAAGGAACAACAGCAAAGTTCTTTTCTTGTATGAGAAGGAGAATAAGGGGCAAAAACCTTAAAAAGAAAAACCATTTAATCACAAAAGAGGAGGCTACCAAAGAGACAAAGCTTTGCCTGCCACTTCTGCCTCCAGATCAGGCCTTTAGTGATACTGTTAGCCTGATAACAATGAACAATGTAGAATCCATCCTTGTTACTTGCATGTCAATCCCCCTCACTGATCCCCAACACCCACTCTCTTTTCCCCACCACCCTCAAAAAAAAAAAAATGGTTGCAAGTTTCTTTCATGGTAACAAGCTTGATTAGCAGAACACAACATACTCTCATTATACCTAATCTGAAGCATGATTTTAGTCACTTTGATTTTGTTTGAATGTTATCCTGGCTGGTTTAAAAAAGCAGGACAGGTAAAATACATTTCAGACATACCATCAAAATACAGTTTATTGCCATCAAATGCAATCTTTTGAAAATTATAGCATCGCTCCAAACATGCAGTCTTTATAAAGAGGGAGTCTATCAAAAAGCATTTCAGGAAGATGACAGCTTTAATATTCTAACAAAGACTTACAGCAAAACAATACTCAGTGGGGGACTTCAGTCCTAAACTGGCATATATTGTTACTTTCAGGTCAAGGGCATTAACTTCAACTCCATACTTTCTCAGAATCTTGATTATTACGCTAATTATGACTTGTAAAATTAAATATTTTTTTCAAAACAGGACTGATCTTGTCAACTAACTTGAGCAATTGTGTCATTATGAGGCCAAAGATCATATGGCAGATCAGGGAACTCATGAAGTTGATTTGGTCTTGACATGGAAATCCATTTAGCAACAGAAACAACTGTACCCAAGTACACATAGAAACACTCAAACACTAGTTTATTTCATATTGACTCTATGCTCCAGAAAACATTGTTTTTCTCTTAAAATGGGTTGTGTTTGAAAGCTCAGAAAATAAAAAACTAATGAGGACTATTTTTGGTATTATAATAGGCAACTGATTGAGGTTCAAGTTTAGTTTCAGATGATACTATCAGGGAAGATCCTATTTTTCAAAGTCATATTTGTGGGTAGTGAGGACGAGAAAGAAGGATGCATTGGCATATGATCTTGCTAATTAAATCTATTACTGTTATTATATAACGCCAGCTATACTCGCTGGTCTTATATCCCACATTTCAAATTACAGTTGCATTTTTCACTTGTTCAGTACATACTTCCATGCAACACAAGGGCATTAATATTGAATCCTGTGCAATATAGGACTAGTGACACTCACAACATTGAGACAAGATAACAGCTCTAATTGACATTGCCATTAATGTGATTTGAATATTATTTAAGGTATGTCTTAAACAAATCCAGACTGAGCATGAAAGAAGTAAGTTCCGAGTAGTATTTCTCACAGTCAGAAAACATGGAGATTTTTCATTGCAATGAAAAGGAACAGAATATGCATCTTGTTCTACACAAGATGATTTAATAAAATTAAAAATTTAGCTGGGCCAGGACATTCAGATGAAGTGACAATCTGTGGACAGAATAGGAGATAGCAGGTAGACAGAGCAAATGTTCTCATTACTGAATGTTTTGTAACCTGGTTAAGGCATAGCCTTGTTGGCTCTCTAGCAAAATGTAGACACAATGTAGTTTTGGGTAGTTTCATGCTTTGCAGAATTTCTTAGACTATAAGAAGAAGCAGCCTGGAATATAGATTGATAATTCACTTACCTTTAAAAAACACTTCTCTGTTTGGTGGGGTAATCTTTTGGGATCATTTCCTTATGCTGTGTCTTAAATGGAATTTTAATTTTGATGTTAGTTTATGTATAATAGGTAGGATAAAAAAAGATAAAAACATTGGACTAAAATATCGATAATTGAACATGTTTATGTTTGATTATTATTTACACTTTGGAAAGATGCAATTCTAGTACTTTGTTAGGAAACTGCATTCAAGCAGTTCTGCCTTGTATAATCTGTAAGTACCTATTAAGATAAAAGACTTCTAAAGATACTTATGAAATGTATACATGTTTTTTCTTGCACGTTACAAAGGAAATAATTGCATAACACAGATGTTCAAGAAACTTTTTTTAATGCATTTTTTTCTTTCTTTCATGAGGCACATGAAACCACTAGATAGCTCATTTCACTGTATCTTAAAACCCTCTGTTATCTAGAAAGCTAATACGGGTCATGCTGGACCTTTGGATTAATTGGATGCACATTCCCCAATGATGTTTGCACCACATACAAGATGATCATGTCATTGTCATTTAACTCCTGAACCTCTCTTTAAAACTAAAATGGGTGTGAAAGAATAAAATTCAGTGTACTGTAAGTATTTGCAGTAATTCTAGTAGAATTAGCTATCATAACATGTTTATTATATAATGAGCTGGCATGACACAGAAATATATTTTGTGTTTGTATGACTTTTATTTTGAATAGGTTAAATCTGGTGCCACTCCATATATAGAGTGCTTTTGAAAAAAAATAAATAAAAAGAAACAAAAAAAAAAATAAATGAGTGAATGCAAAATAAGCAACTGTGCCTTTTATACCTGTTGTTATGGTAAAAAACCGGATGTTGGGTTTGGACAATGAGGGGAAATGGGCTATTCCCAACTTTTTTGATCTTGTATATTTATCCATGTTTATTTTCTGAAAACAATAAAAAATATATTAAAAATTTGCCTTCTGACAAACTCAGACAATGGACCAGTCTTAAATATTCTTCACTCATAAAAGAAAATTAAAGCATTAATATGGGCTGCTTAGATCTCACTGAAAGGTGAAGGCAAAGGTTGTGGAGTAACACAGGAAGATATTATCAGGGGTGAAATCAGTCCATTTTGCAAGATAAAGAGTTGTTTTAGAGGTTTTGTTATTTTTGCTTTTTTTGGGGGGCTGCACTTTCATTTTGGTTGTACAGTATATGAACTCTACTTGTTTTCTGTACACAAGATTCTCAAGTGACTTTTGCATGCATTACATGTTAGGACACACATTTATGAATTTAGTAACTATACAAATTTTTGTGTATTAAAATATCTGTAGTGTCAGTCTAAAATCTACTGCTCTTTCTGAATCTCCAGATATCATTTCTGTATGGTTTTTGACTGGCCTGCTGCCTGAGTTTTAGAAAACAAGGGAGGCATTATTTTTATGGGAGAAGAAACTAAGATGGTGCTGAGAATGTCGGCCTGAAAGGCTACCCTGGGAAGCTGTGTTTAAGGAAAATAAGATAAAACACACAGACCAGAAGAAACTGTCAAGAATCAAACAGCCATCCTAAAACAGTCATGAGAAATCTGAAGACCTATGTCATTTTAAATATATCATTGATAAAAAAATAAATGCACCCTTAAGAGAAAGAAGGACGAAGCTGATCATGAATGTATAAAACTTGTTAGCTGTGACCCAGGAGGAGGGTTCTGTAACATCTGGAGGAGGCATCGTTTTGTTTTGTTTTCTTTTCTTTTCTTGTGTTTCAGCTACCTAGGGTTTACTTTCAGACAACTTTTCCCACATCTTACAGCACTTGCATTCAGTGTGGTACGATATGTTTGTAATGTTAATCATTGACTGTTGTTCTGCTACTTGGATGTTGATAGTGAAGCAGAGAACAATTTATCATCGTTAATTATGAGTCACTATGCACGCAACTATGCTAAACATGGCGAAATGTATTAAACACTCGTCCAACTATTTATGAAATACTTTACATAATTTAATTTGCTTCTGTACAGTTTTATGTAAATAAATTGCTTGTCATTTTTGTCTCTGCAAATTAAAATATAACATGGTCAAATGGTTTCACACTTGTAAGTGTACTTCTCTGTTGACAAGTAATTCAGGTCTGATTGGACGAGAAGTGAATGGATGCATGGATCAGTTTGATTTAAGATAGTTTGCTTTCTGCTAAATTAAGATACAGCCAGCAAGATGATGTGGCAGATGATTTGGTGGACACCATGCTTAACTGCCACGTTTGCCTGATAGTATTTCCAAACTTGAAGTCTTCAGTTTTATCGAAGTAATTATTGAAATAGTTACCTGGGTAGCTTTAAAATTTTAAAGTGGATAGAAAACAATATTATTAATATGAAGATTGATTTAGTCAGGGATATCTACAAAAATTTCACATTGAAGATAAAATCAATTCTATGTCAGAAGATATGTCTGTATAGGATAATTTTTTTTTTCTTCAATGCAGGGGAGCAAGCTCAGTGCCTTGTACATAGCACTCTTTCACTAAACTTCATGCTCAGACCAGGAAATGTTTGTTTTTAATATAACTATAAATAGAAAAAAGTTTAGACTGGAAAAAAAAAACACATTATGTGAAATGAAGGAAATGTAACTTGAAAAACAAAATAGAATTTTTACTTTAACTCGTTTTTTCTTTAATCATTCTCTACCTTTAACCTTTTTATCTGCTAGTTGTTATAAGAGAGTATCTCTAGCTATAATGGTTACCATCTTTATGAAGCTGGTATCTATCCAAACAAGTGTCCTCTTATCCCTGAATCATGACTTCCTTCCAGTTCAGAGGCTTAAAAGAGAAAGAACACTTTCTATGTACAGGAGAACATTGGGACTTTGCATCATGTCACAGCAGTATTGCTACAACCTACCTGTAGGAAAAAGCAGATGTTGTGAAGATCTTAGCCTTGAAGGTTCTCTTCATTGTTTTTGCTCCCTTGTATGAAAAGTCAGCATACTTTATACAAGGTGATATATACTTTCTTAAATCAAAGATCTCCTTGTACAACGATTTTAACTGGCATGTCTACTCATTTTTGCTTTCTACTTTTTAATGGGAAACCAAATATCAGTACATAATATCAATGAAACAGTGCATAAAATGAAATTGCAGTGCAGTCTTCTTTTAAGTACTTGAATGAAATTTTGAAAATTATGTATTTTACTTTTCTCTGAAATGTCATTCTTAGGATAAAATATTTAGAAACAAAACCAAGAAACTCCCACAAACATGGAAGGGTAGAAATGTACTTTAGCAAGAAGATAAACATGAAGTGGGCCAACAAAAGTTGCGCAATATTGCTTCCAAGACTTAGATTATATTTGTCTACCATTGATTTGTTGCAAGAGATACTTCTTGTAACTTAGAAGCTTGTCTTAGCAAAGGGACCTGTTCACAACTGCCTACATTT